CACAGTCACTCCGAAGCATTTTTCAAACGCGAAAAGCATTTAGTCCGCATATATGGCTGAAAGCATCTTTTACGCAAGCCTTTTCTTCCAAAACACATCTCCAATTACGTTAAGTTAACTATTCGGTACTGTTTACCTTGAAAATCATACAAGACAGAAATTAAACAAACCCGAATGACAGTTCATATGTAATTCTGGTAACTTCGAAACCTGTCGTTTTGAGCAATCTTTCCCGGCCGCGCGGTTGAAAAGAATGTTTCCCTTGAATGTTTTCCTGGTGTTTCCAAATGAAGTATTTTTTTTTAGCTGTTATACTGTCTACCTAGGGATAGTAAAATCTTCGCATGCTCGGGTCATCTGGCCTATGTATTTAAAAATTTGATCCACAAATGGCATTCTGTAGCTAACAATGAAAACTGAACAGAAATTCCAACTCACCTAGTGCTGCAGCCGCTAGCATTTTAACCAGCGGACCAAGATCTTCACGTCCGCCACAACCAGGGAAGATAGCTTCGATAACATACGATCCAAACACAAGGAGAACCATGATCTGACTAGCCGGCCTCTGAAACAGCACAAAAGTCCACGAGAACAGGAAGGCTGGAAGGGATCCATACGCCTCCAGCAAGTACTGAAACTCAGCACCAGATCTTGGAATCATAGTTCCTAACTCACTGTAACATAACGCGCTAAAAAGAGAGATTATTCCACAGATGGCCCAAATCACTAAAGACATTCCTACGGAGCCAACGTAGAACAGCACCCATTTTGGTGTTGCGAAGATTCCCGAGCCGATTATTGTGCCAACGAGGAATGCAATTCCCCCAGGAACTTCCAAGGAACGTCTGAGGGACACCGTGTTTCTTACGCGCTTTTCGTCATCGAATTCGCCGTTTTGCGTTTCATCGATGAAGCTTTGGGACTGGGAGTCCTCCGCCATGGTCCCTAAATCAAGAATTATTTACCTGATCCTTGCTGACCCTGCGTTGTTTATTCTGCTTTTGGGGCTTTGTTTGATCTTCAGTAATCTGTCAAAATATTTCATTCACGGTTTGTTATTACCTCTTTGGATTAAAGTAAAGTAATCTGTACGTTCTATAATAATCTGTGTGAATAATATTTTACGGCCAAGTATCTCTTACTTTTTCTCACTATTTTGCGTGGCAGAATCTAATCGTACATTAAAAATGTTACCACTGTAGATTGAGAATTTTGTCGCAGGCAGATATGATAAGTACAGTGAGTCACGTTGTCACGTTGTCACGGAGTCACGTTGAGTCCTAGATAAGGTTGGATGAGATTATCACAGCAAAAATAAGCCTGATTAAACGTAATTTCGAAATAACTGAGGAAAAAATTGATTATTGCATGTGCAAACAGAAAGCGAATAAATCCACATTGAGTAGATCGCCCTGTTACTTGCCTTATATGATGACACCATTTTTATGACGAAATACAACGTCAAATGAGATTACTTGGATTTCACTATTTCGTTAAAAAGTCCAAAAACGTGAAATTAATACAAAATCAAGCCAAAATGTTTATGAAATGTAGAAACACTAGAAATTCTGAAACTGGAGGAAGAGAACTGAAAAAAAAAAAAGTCAAAAAAGTAGAGTTTTGGCGAGACGTATACATGAAATCTGCGGTTGCCATTACACCGTCTAAAATCTTGGACAAAATTGACTCATCAAAATTTCTTCGAGAGATAAATGAACAGCTACTGAAAGTATCAGCATCTTAGAATAAATCGTCTTTTGTTTTCCGTATTTGAACTACAAAGCATGTCGAAGGATTTGCAGTTTATCTGCATGCTCATCTTTTCAAAAATCTCTGTGAGATGCAATGCTTCATGATGGCCGACCGATGCAAATACGATTGAGATGTTAATTTCGTTCTTAAAGTTCAAACTGGTCTTTTTTCATTATTATTCCGAAGTATTCGTATAGACGTTATGAGTTCCACAGCAGTATATATTCATGAGAAAGTTGTTCGTTAATTGGTCGTTTTCGACAAGTAGTTCATTTTATCCGTATAGTCTTCATTTTAGAAGGAAAAGATAGCTGATCAGAAAAAAAGTGACGGCCTTTTTTAAGTAGGCCAGGACCTAAGTGAAAACGAAATAAACAGACTAGAGTTTATGTTTAATACTTTTTATGACCAAGTAACAATCTTAATAAAGGTCAGTTGTTGATATTCTGTTGGCGTCAAT